CATTATATGCGTTGTATATACAGTCAAACCTGTATATAATGGTCACCCTTGGGAAATCACTGGGTGACTTTTATAAAGGGTGACCGCTATATACAGATCAACTTTACGGCAGATAGAAGGGCGCGATTTTAATTCATAAAGTCGTTTGGTGACCGTAATATACAGGGTGACCGCCACACACGGGACCGTTATATACAGGTTTGACTATAAATTACGTGAAAAACTATCAAGAGCATTGCGTGTCTCCTGCTTTGAAATTAGGCAATCTTCGTTTACAATAATGACATCATTAATATACTCGATTTATTCTCTGATTGAGCCACCAAACAAAATCAACTTTGAATATTGGACAACTGCACCCAAGGAGCTAAAATATTAGCCCATTACCCAGTTCGACAATTTTGGTTACATGTTAGTGCCATTCTGAAGGACTAAAAATGTTCATCGTTAAGTAACAACGGGTTTAAATCAGTAGTATTTCTTCCAAACTTAACAAATAGCATAAATATACTATATGGCCTCTGGAACCACACTAATCTCCTCAAATTCAACCCCTAAAGTCTGTATACTAGCCAAGTGGCCCATGAGGCTAGAGCTTATCTGGCTTTCTGTTGCGCGCATAAAGCGACTAGGAGTATTTCTAACCCTCTCTGGATGGGATGCTAATCCATCGCACGGTTATCCCCAGCATTAAGTTGGCCGGTACCCATTTATACACCTGGCTGGAGAGAGGCACTGTGAGAGTAAAGAACACAACACAATGTCCCCAACCAGAGCTCGAACCCGGACCACTCGATCCGGAGATGAGCGCACTAACCGTAAGGCCAGCGCGCCTCCCACAAATTCAACCCCTCCCCCTACGTTTTTGTACGTTCGGCTGAGCCAGACTCGAGTGTGCTTAGTGTGTCTTTGTTCTGGTGATGTGTCTGCTGACTGGAAAGTTTGACAGAGAAATTTTCCTATCAAAGATTTTCGCTAATCCTGCTATGAAACAGATCAAGGGGACATATTTCAGTAACATCCGTACATTTTTGAGTTTTTAATTAATTCAAATTAAATTTTAAGTAAATGAAGGAGATTGATAAACTGCTTAGATTCACTATTCGCCTTTTTCAATTTGCGCGTTGCAACAATAAACAAATAATTTTGATTCGGGGGGTTTGGACGAAATGTCAGCTTCATCCTGAATCGCTGAAAGTGTCCAGTGGTAACGGTTATTTTTTTTTTTTCAGTAGTAAGATTTATTAAGTATTGTAGAGGGATGAAATGAATACGTTGTTGATGTGGAAACAACTGTAGAATGTTTCATAATTAGCGTTTTGTTAAAATGAATGCATTAAAGATTACAAGAGCCGAGGTAAAAGCTTATGACAGCTCGAAACAGCTGTGGAAACAAAACCCAAGCACGCTGTTTCCACAGCTTAAACTCGGCTTGATATCTGCAAAGCAAATCTTCATNCTGAAATGCACTAGCAATCTAATTTCGTCCGCTATAAGACTCAAGTGTAATTGTCTCAGTTATTCCAGGCATGGCTTGGCCTGTGTTTGTAACGAAGTTTGTAAAGATCGTTTGGCATAGGGATACGTACAGGAGATGGTCGGTTTCTCTTTTTGTTAACTAATTCGTCACAATGTGGCAGTTTTTCTTCTCTTTCCGGCAAATCGTTATTCCATTTTCTCTGAAAAGAGCAGTGAGAAGCTTTTGTTATGAATACAATTACAATTAGCTATTCCAGGATATTTATTGTTTAGTGAAACCCACATCAAACACGAACTCAGAAACGAGAGCCTAAATCTGTTTGGTTGGAACTTAACAAGTGTAACAAGCCTTGAACGCAATAGGCGAGAGATTGTTGCACCGTTGCTTTGTTTAAAGCTAAAATCCCCGATATGGTAGGTACTCATGAAACTAGAGATTTGTAAACCCCAAATACCTTTGTGAATAAGTTTCACTTCACCTACCCGTCCCTCCCCCAACTGTACCTCTCGCCATCTACTACTTCCTTCAAAGTACCTTGCCACTTTCATATCTGAGCAACCCCTCTGTACTATAAAATCTGATGCCATCCTCTTTCGCCGAACACCCACTCCCGAAGGGTGTAATTTTAAATAATTATAATTACAATCATTAAAAGTTACCTAACTGTTATGTCGCTTGTCCGTCTTACCATCTGTGCGCACGATGATTTCTTTCTAGGCTGATCAGTGAAGAGCTTAGAGACTTGATACCTGCTGTAGATTCCGTAGTCAATGATCTTGTCCTTTTGTTGCTGAGAGGATAAAAGAAGTATATTTGTAATTTTGTTTTCTTAGTTTACCTCACATTCCAGGGACAGCTTTCTTCTGCAAATAAACACAGAGCTGAAAGATTCCTAGGCTTTCTGGACACAGAGAGACAATCTGGGAGCAGTGAGTTTTTTCGAGGTTTTTTTTCTAGAATGCTGTAGACCTCTTGCATTCCTTCACTTCACCGATATCCTTCTCGGTGGAATATTTTTCCAACTGTTTTAATTCAATTCATGTCATTATTCTATCCAAATAACTCACAACCGTCAAACACTTCTTAAAAGTACTTTATAACACATCTTCTGAAGGCCAATCAAGAAACGATGACACTACTTGCAGTTCTAAAAAACATATCGCATCAGTTGATTTTACCTATTACTACTTCAGTTTCTCATTTAGTATACTTGTAAATGTCACCACAAGTGTTTTTTTCTAGATATAACTGTCATTTCGCACAAATATCCATTCTAGTCATTCGCAAATTACCTGATTTGTGGTAAATTCCAAATGCAAAAATTTCATTTGCGGAGCGATATCGTGAGCCAGGCAAGATACGATCAAACAGTCATTACACTGTTACTGGTATTTCCTTTTGTACGCAAAGTTTCGAAACTTGTTCATTCAGTTTGGTTATATATATCAGGGCCGTAGCCAGAAACAAATTATGACTGAGGCAGTGTCCAAGAAATGAGTTGTGACTGAGGCAATGTCCATGGTTTAATTCTCTTCCTGGGAATTTAGAGTGTTTTTGATGACTATAAACAACAAAACGAAAAAAAATGACTGAGGCAAGTGCCTCGGTTTGCCTGTTACTAGCTACGGCCCTGTATATGTAAATGAAGTGATTTGAAGAAATTCAGATATGAGTACGAATAGGAGACTAAAAACCACTAGGATTTTAAAACCGAATGCAAATATTCTCGTTATCACGTTTCAGACCAGTCTTGTACTAACAGTCTCCTATTCAGCTGGTAAGAAACATGAAGAGTGGGGATTTGGGAACGTAACCTGAAATTATACCGGAGAGCGTACTTGGGCACACTGCACTCGTGGTATTATCTTAAAGTCCTTTATATTTGCTTCGCATGATGTTTGAAAGGTTAGAACTCTCTTGATAACCGAACATGCTTTTAAAATAAAATTAGGGGCTTAAGATCGTCAGAGGTAAACCATTTGAAGTGTAATCCCCACACAAATGTTTATTCGAATAGAGTAAATATTGAGTTATGATAATGCTCTGAATTATCTCTGGTACAAACAAATCACGTTCATGATTCATTCACTCAAATAATTGTGTTATAGGCGTTTGTGGAACAACAACAAGGAATGACGCACGACCCTATAACCTGTCAATCAAATTGCGCGCGCTTGAAATCCATTTCGCGAAATCCATTTTGCGTTTTAAATACTCGGTATTGATAAAATATGCTTAACCTCCTGGCCACGGATTTTTAAACTGAGTCTCGACGCTGTCGAACAAGACGGTTCGTAATACTTGCCTGTCGTTTCTCTTTAAGCCAGTCTTCTACATAATCACCCAGCGAATATTCAATGCGGGAATATTTTCGTTGTATTTTCCAGCTTGGCAATGTGTTTCTATTTACTCCAGTGTCTTTTCTCGGCATCTCGATTCTGTCCCTGTCATGTGTGTTTTCAAGGTAGCTATTTGGCCAAAATATGCAAATTATCAATGAAGCAGTGTACGTTTTCAATTAGAGTTGTCTTTAGGTTTGTGACGTCAAAGTCTGGGGCAGTGTCCACACTACGCCGGAGAAAGTTGAAAACGCAGCTTTATTTCTACGGTTAGGCCTACCGTCCACACTAATCCGTCACGAAAACGAAGCTTTTCAGAATGTTCTTCAAACCGGAGGAATTTGAAAATGCCGGCTTTGCGTTTTAGTGTGGACAGAAAACATTTTGAAAACGGAGCTTTTCCAAAACGATGGCGTGACGATAATCATTTGATTTTCCTGCCCGAGTTCTTCTCAAACACAAATCCAAAATGACCGGGGATTGTTGCGTTTTCAAATTTTTCCGGCGTTGCGTGGACGGAAAACATTTGATGCGATTTCAGAGTGAAAACGCCGTTTTCAATTTTACATGCGAACGCGATTTGTGTTTTTGGTCTTCGTTGTTCGAAGCACGGGAAAGGTCGTTGTTTACTCTAGCGACATAACGACATTACGACGTATGTAATGACATAACGACATAATCACTGATGTCGGTAATGTGAACATCGACAAAAAAACACAAGGAAAGATCAGTTATGTTGCTCATGCTGTTATGTTGCCAGTGGCGAATCCAGACCTAGAGCGAAGGGGTGGGTAGGGGGGGGGGGGATTGTTTTGCTTGCCCTGCCGGCTTTTCTTTCTTCTGTGATTTCCTCTATTTTTACCGAAAATAAGGGGGAGAGGGCGGGCCCCTCCCTTAGATCCGCCACTGGACTTGCTATTATGTCGTTATGTCAGGATGTTCAAACTGCAATCAGAACAACATAACGTCCTTCTTATGTCGTTATGTTTATGTCGTTTCGTCGCTAGTGTGAACTGGGCTAAATGCTATGCACTGTTTAAAATAAAACATCTATCCACTGAATAGAATGGTTGGTTTAGTTATTATTTAACCACTGGGCTGTGATGTAGCCGGTGGATAGTGTTATCCACCCTTTGAACAAACCGGAGTTGAATTTTCTTAAAAAAAAAACACTACATAAACATTGTGATTTCTTTGTTTAATTAAAAATCATTGTCTTTTTATACAAAAACAATTATTCATTCTGTACATCGTTAACATTGTATATTCTAATAGCTATTTCGTCGAAAAAGAACACACGATCTTACTGACTATCTCTAAATTGATTTTTTTTTTGTAAGACTCCAGAATATTTATACGATTCTTTATCAGCAGTATGGCAACGCTCCATTTAAGGAGTACTGTTAGGAACTCTATGAAATTTTCTTAATATCTCGCAAAGGAATCTTTACTTTCCTGGTATTGATGTCATTGCTTCAAGTTCTGATGATTTTTATGGGAAAGTTCTCTGTAATAAGGTGATCATCTTGAAGAACTATCACCACGTTCACCTCGAACTCTGAAAGACAAATATGAAATAAAAAAATATAGACATATGTTACCAAAGTGCTCTGAACATTTCCAGTGTGTTTACTTTGAAAACTCGTGTAGCGCTTATTAACCAATCAGAAAGGAGATGCGGTCTTCTTGGCCAATCAGGTCTGGCTGACGTGATTTTTCCCGCGCTTGGCAACAGCTGCTTATGTTTTCTCCTGTTGATTGGCTTATTGTAGTTTTGGCGGCAAATAATGGCTTCCTAACTTCCAACAATACAACAATTCTTCGCCCGGTAAATGTAGTTTTGACCTTTTTTCTTCCAATTTAGCATATTTTATACAAGCACATGAGTTAACTTGCTTAGATCGCGCAAGAATAACAACAGATCAATTGGAACGGAGCGACACGCGCGGCGAAGGAGAGGCTGTGCCCTCGCGTGTTCTCGCTCTCGCGCACCGCTCCGTACCGTTCCTCCTGTCTGTCCCTGTATTACTACTCGCACGGCCGCCACGCAGGCTATAAGTTCTACCACTAACCTATTTTGAAGTTGGCAGTAGCCAAGGTGGGACAAGTGAAAAGACGAGGAAAAATCATGTAAATTGGAATCCTTAAACCTCGGCAAACATCTCCTTCGGCAATCTGAAATAACGTTAAAACAAGATTAATAGATTGCACAGTGAGATAAGGCAGCATTCTCCTGGCGGAGAGGGGACCTCCCATATAAAAAGGCCGGGGGTGCTCATCATACCTTTTAGGGATTAAAAACGCGGTTTAGGTATCTCTTAGGGTGTTCAGCCTCAAAAGGTCCACACCAGGAGCCTTTGCGGTATCTTTTAGGGTAATGAGCCGGGAAAATATGACACAAATATTTGACAGGAGCTAATAGGCTGATTTAGCAAGAGAACGGGAACGTCACTTGACGACGGCGCGCGCAGTACAAATACCCAAATATGGTCAAATAAGAACAGAATCCAGGTTATTCCACGCGCCCTGCAGTCGTCATCTGACGTTTNTTTGGGTATTTGTACTGCGCGCGCCGTCGTCAAGTGACGTTCCCGTTCTCTTGCTAAATCAGCCTAATGTGTTGTTTAAGAATTGATACTTCTCAGGGGTGAAAAACATGTCAAGCCAAGCCCCACAAAACAGGACCTTGGTATTTTCAAAATTTCCAACGAGCACCCCCACTCCCCGGGAGTACTCTGGCCATTTTCACGCGCTTTCTGATGAGTTCAAACAATCGGTGCGACACATTTAGGAAACAATGCAAATGAGTACATTGTCTAAATGTAGAGAACTGGCTGGATAAACATACAAACTACACGGTGAGGAGAAACAGTTAACAAGCTTACCTGAATATTCTGAATCTCGGTAGCTGTATAAAAATAATAGAAAAGAAACATACAGCTGTATTTTGGTGATTTTATTGAATTGCATTGCTCAAACTTGCTGTGCACGATTTCTACATCATTAGCATGCTCACGAGTATGTGCACGTACACAACATTATGAGATTTCCTTCAAGCTAAGCTCGACAGAGAAATAGTCGTTTTCTCCTAAACAAGCACGATGACTTAACTTTTAAATGCAAAAATTTGCATTTTTGTAATATGCACAGCACAATTATGAAGCAGACCTTCTTTTTCAATGGAATCACTCTCGGTAAAATGTCAGACACCACTTCAATCTGACATGATGTGGTCTTATGAGGGCACGCTGCAATTGCAGTAACCGAGTTCTCTGAAAGCTTACTTAAGAAATGGAAGATTTTCTATTTCTATTTGCCTTACTTTTCCCTACAAGAAAACAATTTTTACTAACAATAATGAGGATCATCAAATGAAGAGGCCGAGCAGCTAGAACAGTTTCTTCAATATGAAAGATGCTCACCATCTTTTGAATAGCCCTCTGCACAACCTGAACACAACAAAGAAACAAAAAAAGATCATGGAATCACCATAACATCTATAAATTCGTCTATAAATTCAACACTTCAAAGGGCCAGCCACTGGCCAAATTGACTGCTGAAAGAATGATTTTGACTGCCTGGTTTGACCCTCTAGAGGGAAGTCTTTGTTGTAATTATTCTGTGATAGACAGTGAGTAGCGTAGCAGTGTGCGCTTGTTAACAAAATGACGGCCGCTTCTTGGCATTTTCAAGGTGTCTGTGAAAAGGATTTAGATAAAGTTTTGAACAACTAGTAGATTTATACCACAACAATTGGATTATTCACTCTCAATTTCTATACGTTATAGTTGACTCAGGCTATGCCCTCGGCAACTATCATGAGATAGAAATCTTGAGCTCATAATCTAATTGTTTAATAGAAACATGATTTTAAACCAATCAGTGTGCGTATTTTGTTTGGGCTATTTTCTAATTTATGATAATACATTGTAACCCATGAAATCTGACCACTTAGGGCATATACAGTATAAGTTTTGTTTAGCCAGAAGACTTGGAGTAGCCTTGGGAGTCACTGTAATAGCAAAGTGATCACAGGATGGAGTTCCACTGTAACACTTTACAAGGTAACATGAAATAGATTTTCCCAATGAATATACTCACCACAGGTTTCCACTCTGACAAGCTGCAGTTCGATGGATTTGATTGGTTTGTCTGAGTGGACAACTTCCAGCTGTGAATCAATAATTACATCCACATTAATTAAGAGTCTACCATTCAGTTGTCAATCAATAGTAAACAGTTCCTTTAATAAATTAAACTACAAACAAAAGCCTACCTCTCCGGTGAAAGGTTTGGTGATGCAACACTGAGCACAGTCCAAAATGCCTTTCACTAAAAACTTTGGAACCTTTGCTCTCTATGAGTATAAAAAAAGTTCAAGTATTTTCATATATAAAATAAAAATGGCACAGGGCATGAAGTTACCAAATCATATTATATTAGAAGTCTATGTAATACCTCTTTTACATTCTCAAGAGACTCTGGTGTGATGGAAAATTCCACAGACTTCAAATCTGTCTTCTTTGATGTTGCCTATAACATTGAAGATGCATTCAGTCACACAACATAAATGAGTTATGCAGGACTTTCAATACGTTAATGAAAATAATACAGCTGAGATCACTAACATGGTTATCTGAATGCTAAGCAATTCACAAGCATTTGACCAAAAGTGCTGCTCTCAATGTCATCCAAACTAATGGCTAATGGTGAATTGATAGGCAACCCGATATTCACTGCATGAGTCAAAAAATGTGGTCAATTATGCATGAGGTCAATTGTGTACTGACAAATCACAATTAAGTTCAGGACATGTGAGTAAACTGTTTGTGGTTTAGTTTTCTCATGCCTAAATGGCTTTTTCCTCGCTACACAAAAACATTCCATAAATATTCCTTGTGTTCATGGTTTTCTGAGTTTAATGGTAAAATAATATTGGCCAGGAGTAACTGGTTGTACATGCCAGTTAGGCTTATGAATTTGTTTTTTCTTCTTCTTCAGGCACCTTATGTTGTATGGATGAGATCTGATGAAAATCAATAAACAGACAGCAAGTGCTAGAGACTTCTTTATCAAGCTGATATTTGATCTGATCCTCATTGATAGCAATGTGGGACAAGCTTCAGGCATACTGTGAGATTCCTTCAATATTCCATTTAACAAATAAATTCCATGTTGCCGTGCATCTGTTCAGTAATAGATCACAGATGACGTCAAAATGTGATAAGAACAAAAAAGTGGCACACGAGGCGATAGCCAAGTG